CTATTGGGTTCATAATCTCAGCTTTGGTATTTACTAGCTGTGGGCCTCAGGACAAACGCTTTAACTTTTGTGCCTCAGTTTCTTCATCTGAAAAAATGAGAGATATAGTACGTGCTTCATAGGGTTATAGTGAGGACTGAATAAATTAATGCATGTAAAAAGTTTAGATCAATGCCGGGCATATAGTAAAGGCTCAGAAAATGGTAGCTGTTATACAAATTTACATACATACATTATATACATAGTGCAAATATGCACTGAAATTAGGGGTGCCTGACTGGCTCAGTCGGTTAGGCATCATCTGCCTTTGGCTCCCATCATGATTTTAGGGTCCTGGGATTGGCTCCCTGCTCAGTGGGAAGCTTGCTTCTCTCTCTCCCTCTGCCTCCTGCCCCTGCTTGTGCTCTCTCTCTCAAATAAATAAATAAAATCTTAAAAAAAGAAAGGAAAGGAAAGGAAAGGAAAGGAAAGGAAAGGGAAGGGAAGGGAAGGGAAGGGAAGGGAAGGGAAGGGAAGGGAAGGGAAGGGAAGGGAAGGGAAGGGAAGGGAAGGGAAGGGAAGGGAAGGGAAGGGAGGGAAGGGAAGGAGAGAAGGGAAGGAGAGAAGGGAAGGAGAGAAGGGAAGGAGAGAAGGGAAGGAGAGAAGGGAAGGAGAGAAGGGAAGGAGAGAAGGGAAGGAGAGAAGGGAAGGAGAAGGGAAGGGAAGGGAAGGGAAGGGAAGGGAAGGGAAGGGAAGGGAAGGGAAGGGAAGAGAAGAGAAGAGAAGAAAAAAAGAAAAGAAACTTGACCAATTGTGTGACTTTCCACAGGGGGGCAGGTTACTTCTCTGTTTTCTCAGGGATCAATAATAGGACAGCTTACCTTGGAATTATTGTGTAAAAAACTAAGAACAATTAGCTATTATTACTCCCATTTTTATAGCTAGAAAGCTGAGGATTAAAGAGAGATAAGGATATAAGGCTTTGGAGGGAAACCGAGATTCAAATTCCAGTTTGGCCATGAAACAGCTGTGTGACTTGGGCAACTGTCTTAATCTGACGATTAATTTCTTCATCTTTAAAACGGTGATTATGGGGATCCTTGGGTGGTGCAGCGGTTTGGCGCCTGCCTTTGGCCCAGGGCGCGATCCTGGAGACCCAGGATCGAGTCCCACGTCAGTCTCCCTGCATGGAGCCTGCTTCTCCCTCTGCCTGTGTCTCTGCCTCTCTCTCATAAATAAATAAAAATTTAAAAAATAAAAAAATAAAAAAAAATAAAACGGTGATTATGGGACACCTGGGTGGCTCAGTGGTTGAGCGTCTGCCTTGGGCTCAGGGCATGATCCCGGGGTTCCAGGATCCCAGGGTTCCAGGATCGAGTCCCGCATCGGGCTCCCTGCATAGGGCCTGCTTCTCCCTCTGCCTATGTCTCTGCCTCTCTCTCTCTCTGTGTCTCTCATGAATAAATAAATTATATCTTAAAATAAAATAAAATAAATAAAATGTTGATTAAATGGGAAAACCTTATGGGATTGTTAAAAAAAAACAGTGATATGAGATCACGTAAGTGAAATGCTTAGCATGGTGCTCTTATTACGATCCCCAGTTTTATGGACAGGGAAATGGAGGTAGAGAAAGACCAGGTGACTTGCCCAAGGGCACAGGAAAGTCAACGGCAGATTCAAAATTCAAGGCAGTGTCCAGCTGCCCCAGACCCTATCCTCCTAGCACAATACCAAACCTCCTCTCTGGAATTGGAAGGGGCCCTATTCTGGCTCCCAAGGATCAGGACACTTTGGAAAATAGAAACTCTCAGGTCTCCTCCAGTGCCAGCCCTCCACCCCATCCCATCCATAAGCAGAGATAAATGCCTTGCAAAGCTGGTGACCAATCAGGGAGGCATTCACATGGGCCATAATAAAGGGAAGGAGAAAAAGACAGGAAAGTCGTGACCAATTTTAATTCCCCTTTTCCAAACATCACATATAATTTTAGACATATATAGGCAAGCAGTAAACACGAGTTTAATAAGGACACATTTAGATTTAGTTTCTCCTCCTGTTGCCTTTCCCTTGTGCCCAAACATGACTCATCCTAGGCAGGGTGAAGGGAGGGGGCAAATGAAATGTGAAAAATAGAAAGTAGATATACTCCCCCACTAGACCGTAAGCTCCAAGAAGACACATCCATTTATTTATTTATTTTTAAAAATATTTTGTTTATTTATTTGAGAGAGAGTGAGAGAGCACAAGCAGGGGGAGAGGCAGAGGGAGAAGCAGGCTTCCCACTGAGCAGGGAGCTTGATGCGGGGCTGGGGATCATGACCTGAGCCAAAGGCAGATGCTCAACCGACTGGGCCACCCGGGCGCCCATACGTCCATTTATTAACATACTCCAGTGCCTAGTGTATGCTTGGTATATGATGGGGCGGGGGGTGTCAATGATCATGAGCCAAAAATATAAACTAAGAAATCAGGTCATATCATTTGGCCTCCTCATATTTCCTACCTTCTCCCTCAAAACACAGATCCTCTTTCCATTTTTTTTTTTTTTTTGCCCCCATTCACAGCACTAGAACTACTTAAAAATTCAAAAAAAAAAAAAAGTAGCAATAAGTTCTGGAGAATCCTAACCACATCTACCCTCCATAATGTGGCAATCCAGCTTCCCTCCCATTCCCTCTGTGGCCTGACTGACCCTCATTCTGACACAGAAAGAGCTTGAGGCTTAAAGGCAGAAGAGCCAGGTTGAGTAGTGCTTCTCCTCATGTAATCTCTCTAAGCCTCAGTTTTCTTATCTGTAAAATGGGGCTAAATTATAGTACCTCCTCATGGGTTATTGTAAGGATTAAATTGGTCACATTTAGGTAAGGCACTTAGAACTGGGCATGGCACACAGCAAACACTACGTAACCGTTACTACTATTGTTATTTATTTATTTTAGGTAGGCTCTATGCCCAGTGTGGAGCCCAATGCTAGGCTTGAACTCACAACCCTGAGATCAAGACCTGAGCTGAGATCAAGAGTCAGATCCTTGGGCAGCCCCGGTGGCTCAGCAGTTTAGTGCTGCCTTCAGCCCGGGGTGTGATTCTGTGGAGACCCAGGATCGAGTCCCACGTCAGTCTCCCTGCATGGAGCCTGCTTCTCCTTCTGCCTGTGTCTCTGCCTCTCTCTGTGTGTCTCTCATGAATAAATAAATAAAATAAAATAAAAAAGAGTCATATGCTTAACTGAGCCACCCAGGCTCAATAATAATAATTGTTATTTTTAATTGAAGTAAAGCATGCATATAAAGATATTTTTTTAAGATTTTATTTATTTATTCACGAGAGACAGAGAGAGAGAGAGGCAGAGACACAGGCAGAAGGAGAAGCAGGCTCCATGCAGGGAGCCTGATGTGGGCCTCGATCCCCGGTCTCCAGATCACGCCTTGGGCTGAAGGCGGCGCTAAACCACTGAGCGACCTGGGCTGCCCTAAAAATATTCTCAATTGTTAAGTATTAAAAAATGTAAACGACTACTATTACGATATTAGAGCCAGTAAATCTTTTTTTTAATAGCCAGTAAATAAGAGGGCTATCTCATCTCCCTTTCCCTCATAATGCAGAGAAGCAAATTTCTTCTGATTCACTTTTTAATTGCTAGGTAGTAACCTTCAAAAGGGAAGACATAGCTCCCCTTTCTCCCTCGCCCCCCCCCCTCACACACACACACACACACACACACACACACACACACTATCATTCCAGGATATTACCTTGCATGTTTTCATATTTATGACCTGCCTCCTTGACCCTCTAACCTCTACCACCACCAGCTAAACTGAAATGAAAACTATGCCCAACAGGGTAAGTTTTATCTGTATTGTGCGCAGCGCGGCACATACTAGGGATTTTTGTTCAACCATCGAACAAGACGAAGTTCCACCACACACATGCAAAAACAAAACAAACAAACAAACGGGTCAGAGCACTATTGCTCTGAGCACCAGGATTTCAACCAAAATGGAATACGTGGAATTATTCCTGGGCAGGCCCTGCTTGGCACCGTTGGCCGCCTTAGAAAACCAAGAAAAGGGGAGGAGGGATACGTGTCTACAAACAATTAAAGAGCAGCCTCTGCTTTGGGAACAAGGCGTCTGGAAGCGCAGAGGAGGCCAAAATCTCTGCAAAGAACTTCTTTTCATTTGCCCAGAAAGGCTTCCAGACCGTGTTCTATTCCCCCCCCCCCCCCCCCCCCCCCCCCCGCTGCAGCAGAGGCTATTCTGCGGGGCCGGGCTTCCAATCACAGCTGCGTGGGGGATCCCAACGCCAAACTGGGGGTTACCAGGCACCCGGGGGCCCCCTCGGCCTTGCCAGGTGAGAACGGACAGGAAGCACCTACCGGGCCCATTATTATGACTATTTATTAATAATAATATCGTTATTAAATATTTATGAAGTGCTCATGCTCCGCTCGATGGGGACCCTCCCACCGTCCCCGCTCGCTCCCGGCCGCGTCTGGGCTCCTAACCCCGGGTCCCAGCGGGGCCCTCGGTGCACGGGGCCGGGGCCACCTGTCGCGGGCCGCCGGGGCCGCCGCCGTTGACCTTAACCGCCGGGAACCCAGGCGTCCGGGCTCTCGGCTGGGGCGGGAATCCGCTCCCGGTGGCCGCGGCGTCCGTGTGGGTACCGAGGGCTGGGTCCGCGGCCCCCTGGGCTCCCGGGAGGGGCCGGGCCCCAGCTCCCCGCCCGGTGCACCCGCCCCCCCCCCGGGGCCCCGCCGGCCCGCGGGCGGCCGAGGGCGCGGCCCCGGGCTCTGCGGCCCCAGGCGGGCGGCCGCGCGCAGCCCCGCTCCCCGAGCTCCCCGCCGCCCCGGCCCGGCGTCCCGGCACCCCGGCCCCGCGGCATTTTTCTCTCTTTATCATAAATATATAAATTATGCTAATTACGGGCATTGCATATTAACCAAACCCGAAACCTCCCCTGCCCGGCCCCCTCCCCCTCCGTGCAAACCCCTCCCCGCCCCGGACCCCGCTACTTACCGGAGCCCGAGCCCGAGCCCGAGCCCGAGCCCGAGCCGCCTTCGCCCCGGGTGCCCGGCGGCCGCCGGTTACAGACGCATCTCCCAGCCCGGGCCGGGGGGCCGGGGGCCGGGGCCGGGGCCGGGGCCGGGGCCGGGGCCGGGCGGCCGCCGCCCGCAGACAAAGGAGCCAGAGCGGCTCGGCTGGGCTCGGCTCGGCCCGGGAGCGGGTCGGGACCCGGCGCCACCCGCGGGCCCCCAGGCCGGGCTGGGCTGAGCCGAAGGGGACTCCGCGGGCTGCGCTGGGCGGAGGGGGCGGCCGGGAAGCGGGCAGGGGGAGCGGGGGGGGCGGGCAGGTAGATAGATTTCCCTCCTTTCCCCCCTTCCACAGCCCCCCCTCCTCCTCCCCCCCCCTTTTCCCTCCTTCTGCTACTTGGATTTTTTTAGCTGCTGCGTCATGAGCATAATTTATGCAAAGAGCTTTGCCGCATGCTGCACCGCGCGCGCCCGCCGCCGGGGGGGAGGGGGGAGGGGGAGGAGGGAGGGGAGCGCGGGCGGGAGCCGGAGCCCGAGCCCGAGCCCGAGCCCGAGCCGTGGGGGTGGGGGTGGGGGTGGGGTGGGCGCGCCGGGAGGCCCCGGGCCCTGCGCCCCCGACCCGCGGAGGCCGGCGGCCGGGCGCGCGGCTTGGTCTCATCCGGGGACGTGCGACCGGGGGCGCAGGGCCCGGCGGGGGGGGGGGGGTCCGAGGCGGGGACCCCGGCCCCCGCCGCCCTCCCCGGCTCCCCGGACTGCGCTCCTCGGGGGCGAACGTCGGTGGGGCCCATCCCCAAGCCCCAGGCCGGAGCCCCCTCGAGGGCGTCCAGCCGGCGTCGGACCCCGCTCGGTCCTCCAGGTGGCCCTGCCTCCGCTCCATTTCAGGGAGGGGACCCAGGGGGACCGCGACCCCGCGGGGGCGGCCGGCCGTGGGCTCGGGTCCAAAGACGACTTCCCTGCCTTCTCGTCCAAGTCGACGAGAAAACGTTTAAAAAAAAAGGGGGGGGGGATCCCTGGGTGGCTCAGCGGCTTAGCGCCTGCCTCTGGCTCAGGGCCTGATGCTGGGGTCCCGGGATCGAGTCCCTGCAGGGAGCCTGCTCCTCCCTCTGCCTGTGTCTCTGCTTCTCTCTCTGTGTGTCTCTCATGAATAAATAAATGAAATCTTTAAAAGAAAGAGAGAGAGAGTGAGTGAGAGAGTTAAGTAGAACGGAGAAGAACAACGTTCTGCTTTGCCGGTGGTGATGGCGCCGAGGCTTGGGTTATCTGGAGGCTTTTGCAGGTAGAGGAAGGGATTCGGAGACGTGGAGTTTGGGGCACAGGGTAAAGCAGGTTGGAGTAGTTAGAAGACCAAAGTGGGGAGAGGGAATGAGGGGAGGAGAATTGAGGGAGACTCTGCAAATTCAGGGAATGGGGATCCCTCAGTGTAGGGGCCTGTCGTCCATCTGGGCTGTACCCCCTCTGCCCACCTGCCTCCCCCTCCCCAGTTCCGTGATACCAGGAATGGGGACACAGAGGACTTAACATACAGGGAGGAGAAGGGATGTGGAGCCCTCTGCCCTCCCGGGGCTGTTCTTTAAGGCCCCTGGTGGAAGACCCTACGGGGCAGAAGACGGGGGGAAGCACCGGGTGGCTCCAGACCATCACTATGACACGCGCTTCTAGAAGATACCTGGGGCTGGCTCACAGCCAGAGGTCCTGCTCACAGGAAGCTTCCCTCTCAAGGCCTGACCTTACGAACCTGGCCAGCAAGGTTCGGGTTCTATCTTGATTGCTGTTTCCACGTGGGGGTAAGGAGCTAGGGCTGGTGGCGGATTTATAAGAAACCAGTGGATTAGGAGTCAGAATAATTAGGGTTGAGTCCCAACTCTTCCGCTGGCCGTCCAGGCCAGTAGTTTAACTTCTTCATCAGTTATAAAATGAGGATTCTTGCCTATAATCACCACTTCATAGGGTTAAGAAGATTAGTAGTGGGGCTGTATGTGTGAGCACTCTGAAAACCATAAGCTCTGTTCAGTTGTAGGGGCTCAGTACCTGTACCATAGTTGCATCCACTTTAATGGCCTTGAAAACCCTGCCCCATGTCATGGTGTCCTCTCTCTCAGGAGTCTTGTTTGGTCTGTGTGGAGTCTCTGGCCTTTCCCCTCAGACTGTAAATTCCTCGAGAGCACAGGCTGTGATGTACTCATTTTTGTATTTCCTACTACCCTCTGTGAAGGAGGGGCACAGTTGTGCTATTGAACGGTGTCACACGAAGGCAGAAACTCTAAGTCTCAAAAAAAAGAAAGAAACTCTTAGTCTCTGTGACTTGGTTTGGCGCTACACAACGATGAAACGCCTTGAATGACATGAATATCAAGGATAGTTGGAAGAAAGAAAGGGGTATGATGGAAGGGAGACCTACACCAAAATGTTAACTGTGGTTTTCTCTGGGGAAAGGAAACCTTTCACTTCTACTCTAAATATTTCTGCATTGCTTGAATTTTTGATGATGAGCATATATTCAGTTTTTTGTACGTTAAATTTTTTTTTTAAATCAGGTTTAACATACGCACACAGTAAAGTGCCTAAGTCTTAAATGTACAACTTGGATTTTTTCATAATTATCACCGCCACCCACAACAAGATACAGAGCATTTCCAGGGCGCCTTGGCTGGCTCAGTCTGTAGACGATGCGACTCTTGATCTCAAGGTTGTGAGTTCAAACCCCATGGTGAGCGTGGAACCTACCTAAAAAAAAAAAAAAAAAAAAAAGCACTCCCAACACCCAAGAAGACTCACCTGCACACTTTGATAGTCAATAAACTCCCAGTTATCACTATTCTGAATTCTATCACCATAGATTAGTTTTGCTGGTTCTTGAACTTCATGTAAATGGAACCAGGCAATATGTGCTCTTGTGTCTGCCTTCTGTCACTCAACATATGTTCCTGAGATTCATCCATGTTGTTGTGTCTAGCAGTACTGTTTGTTCTTTTTTTACTGCTGTATATATTCCATTGCATAATTATGCCACAATTCATCCATTCTACCATTGATGGGCATTTGGGCCACTCCTGTTTTTGTCCCTTATGGATGAAGCTGCTAGGAACATCCTGGTACATGTCTTTTGGTGAATACACGCACCCATTTCTCCTGGGTAAATACTGAGGAGTGGAATTGCTACGTATGAGGTATATGTTTAACTTTTGTAGATACTGCTAGTTTTCAAAAATATTTGAACCGATTTATGTCCTTAGTTGTAACATATGAGAGTTCTTGTTCCACATCCCTTCCAACACTTGTAATACAGTCTTTACAATATTGCAGTACAGTCTTTTTGGAATAAGTATATATTTGATAATCAGAAAAAAACTTCAACAATATAAATATTTTCATGAATGGGTAGAGAGAGATGTTGCCAGTGGCTTCCTTCTGCTTCCCATGCCAAATAAAACTCTTCAGCAGTATCCTAAGACTGGCACATTTTCTTTTTCTCCTGCACTCCCACTTCCCATGCCTTCTGAGCCTGCATTTCTTTAACAAAAAGTTATCATCTACTGTGTGCCAGACACTGGGCTGGGTGCTAAGTGTCCAGTGGAACACAAAACAGACTGCTCTCTTGGAATTTATAGTCTACAAGGGAACCAGGCATCAAACAAACAAACAAAAAAATCAACACAAATATATCATTACACATGATGTTTAAGAAAACGAGAAGGTGGTAAGAAAGAGAGTAACAATGGGGGGGCAGGGCAGGGCAGACCTCTGAAGAAGTCACATATAAGGCAAAGTTTGAAAGACGGGATAAGCAAGAGGCAGAAGGAACAGAAAAGGCAGAAGCAGAGGCAGAGCAGAGGTCATGAGTCACAAGGACTTGGTGTTCAAGAAACAAAGAGGATCAATATGGCTGGAACCCCGCAGGCGAGAACTGCACAAGATGGGGCTGGGAAGACAGGTAGGGCCCACATCAGGAAGGCCCGGCCCTATACACCTCCCATCTTTCAGTTTAATTAGGTTCTTTCTTTGCAAACTCCACTCAAGGTTTATCTCCTGCCAAAAGCCTTCTTGAGTAATACCACGTTGCTCTAATTAGTATTATTTTAATTACATCATTGTTCCAATAACTTCATTATATAATTTGTAGTTTATAGGCCATTCATTCTTTTTATGGAGAATATATTGGTTTCCCCCACAGATGTGGGGCTGGGGCCTCACGTCTCCTCTTTTGTCTGGTCTCCTCCAAGCGCTTAGCATATCAGGGGGACAGCAAGAGGCTGTTGACAGGAAGAGCCTCCCTTGGCTCTGTACTCTATTCCTAGAAAGCTCTGGGAACCTGAGCAAATAAATAATCCCTGGTGTCCCTCATTTGAGAGCTAGCCCAGTTCCAGGTCTTCAAAAATTGTCATGGAACAATCAGATTTCCCCAGGATCCATGCACATTTTTCCCCAACACCTTTCTCGGGTCCAGAGTTAATTTTCCCCTCCCCCCCTCCACTCACCAGATTAAAGGCCTCACTGCTGTTGCTAAGGGAGTGAGGCTGGGCAGGTGAGAGTGGGTGGGAGGGTGCTACAGCAGGGGGTGTGGGGGGTGGGGGGGTCAGGTTGGTCAGCAGGAAAAAGCTCTCAGCGATGCATTTCCAAGTGCTCCTCGGCCAGTCTATTCCCTTCTCTGTGCTACCTGCTTGTTCTCTCTGAAAGCTTTGAGGATTTCCTTTCTTTTCTTTTTTCCTTTTTTTAAAATCTCTTAAATCTCTGGAGTCTTACATCTTACCACGTTACAGCTGGTGGTCGGCCGGTTTTCACAAAACAGGGAATCTGTTGTCCATCTTGACTGGTCATAGCGAAGTCCTTGCGAGGAGAATGGGTGATGAAGGACAAAAGTCCCTGAGCACTGGGATATTTTAAGGTGAGAAGCCAGAAGGTTGTTTTGTTTTTGAGTTTCTGAAACTTGTAATGTGACACAGAGTGTGGCTGCGCATACTCTGCCTTTTTTTTTTTAACAGACCTCCCAACCTGAAATGCATATATTTTATTCTATTTACTTTAATTTTTAGCAATGATGTAGAACTGTATTACTAGGCTGCTGTCACTCTAACAGATCACCCTACCAGCTCAAAGGGTAAATATGTGGGTTTTTTTTCATAATTTTTGTACAGTAACAAGGTGAGGAACATTTTAGCTCATAAATTATTTACCAAAGCTCACAGGCATAATAGGCTGTGTGCATATTCATCAGGCCATCATCCATTATTCATAAGAAGTTCACTTCAACTGTTAGAAGAAAATGAGGTTGTTGATTGAAATGCTGAAGAAATGTGGTCTTTT